GCCCTCTTCCTCAAAACTGTACACTTTAAAATTTGTGATAGCTGTTGTTAAGCCAAAGTGTCGCTTCCTCCACTGAACCTGGATATAGTTTTAGAACTCATATCATCACATCTCTCAGAAGACGGCATGGATTGGTTAGAGTCAATGCCTAACTTCAAATCCGTTTTTCATCCTTAATGCATTTAAAGTCTCTTCTCTTATAGATGAGAAATTCAACTTAATGAGTAACATATGAGGCCATACAGCAAATAAGTAGCATACTTAGGGCATGAATTCATGTTTTTTCATTTGTTAGTTAGCATTCTTCTCACTTATTATTTTTTTGAGGCAAGGTCTTATATGTAGCTCACACTGGCCTTGAACTCACTATGTAGCTGAGGAAGATTTTGAGCATCTGATTCTCCTTCCTCCACCTCCCTAATGCTAGGATTATGGGCATGTGCCATCCATCAAGCTTTATGCTGTACAAGGAATTAAACCCAGGGCTTTGTGAATGCTAGGCAAAAAGTCTACCAACCTAGCTGCGACCCCAGCCCCGAACCCAAACCCTAACCCCAACCCTAACCCAGCCCCAAGATACTTACATTTGATGATGTTTACTTTATTCCTGCATCTCCTAGTCTCTCTAATTCATTCGCAACTATCTGCATGTGAGGACAAAGGGACCTGCAGCCTCTATACCTATTCTTTTGAATACTATCACTGCTCGGCATGGGTGTACTGAGTTTTTAGCTTGTAATTTTTATGCAAGCCATATGTTTGAAATAGTTCCAAAGGCTTGTTTTTCCTCCTCTGTTTAAAATGCCACTCTCTTCTCTTTGGCTTTTCACAATCAGCGTGATTAAAGTCTTTTCTAAGGGTCAGTAACGTTTAGCCCAGTTCCTGCATGGTACACTGTAAATTCTAGATGGAGCTCTAATCTTGGATGGTTCCTCTAGGTTCTGCTGTTTCCACGTCACACCACTGGCTCTGGACTCCCACAGACCCTGCACTTACACAATTCCCAGATGTTTTGTGGACACTACATTTACAATCATGGTCTCACCAAGTGTCCTCATCCAAAAGTCGCCGCACTGCTAGCGACATCTTAGTCACCACAGGGAAAAGAAATCGCTTTTGCAAACTCAAGTGCTGAACTTACATTTAAACAAACTAAAACAAACAAACAAAACACAAATAACCTCCTTTTACCCTTTATAACCTTTTCTGGGTGTCTAGGATCAACGATGGTTTAATTTCCTTTGTTCCTTCGTATCTTCCTTCCTTCCTTCCTTCCTTCCTTCCTTCCTTCCTTCCTTCCTTCCTTCCTTCCTTCCTTTCACACAGCAGCTGCTCTAACAAAGCTATGTATCAAGAAATTACCAAGAAATGTCTACATGTTTATGCTAATTTGACTGTCCACTCTAAATGATCCATCTCTCCAACTTCTGCCTTGACCCAATGACTCACCAGCATAAATGGAATTCTCATGATTGAAAATACATTGTTTTATATCAGTGTCTTTCCAGAAATTAGTAATAACGATGCCAAAAATACCAGTGAGCATTTCATTGTGAAATGTTTGAACAAGCTGATTTCTTACATAACACCAAAGTCCTGAATACAACAGTTGGTCAAATTTGTCAAGAATTGTTGTTCACGGATTAGCATGCAAGTAAGGCAGCATTGTGTTGTGTGGGTTTACAGGTGCCAAGACCCCCAAGAGAAGCACATAGGTACTTGTCCTGATCTTTCTGCCAACCATGACTGGAGGGTCTTCTCTCTTCTTTGCGCTGCCCCTTCCTAGTCAGGTAAATTTTCAATGAAGAGGCCCTCATCTGTCAAACAGGTAACAACTGTATTTGCTGCTACTTGCACTGCTTCTGTGGCATCATTATTTGGCACCGAATTTAGTAGCATACAAATTTGGTTTTTCCCCTTCTAAGTCAGAAACTCCCTTTTCCTATTTATTTATTTTTGAATGCCTAGCACTTAGTATAATAATTGGGCCTTAGAGTGTACTTGTTAATGTTTCCGGAATAGAACTGGAGCAGATTTGACTAATCTGTGCAATAGATCAAACATGTTAATAATTCTTTTTAAGAGCATGGCCAGGTACAGTGGTGCATGCTTCTGATCTCAGCACTTGGGAGGCAGAGGCAGGCCAATCTCCCTCAATTCAAGGCTAGGTTGACCTATATATTGAGTCCCAAGCCAGTCAGGGGTACATGTTGAAATTATGTCTTAAGACAAACTTGCTTTTCTATATTCTGGGGTAATTTCAGGAGGTAGGAAGGAAATCTCTCAATATCATCTATCTCCTTTGGGCCTTCAAGATTCATTTTATGTTAGATAGAAGAGAACGGAGTTTTATAAAGAAGTCTTACCCGAAAATCCTTTCTCTTTGTTCGTTTGTTCATTCATTTGTTCATTCCTTCCTTCCTTCCCTCCATCCCCTCTCCCTCCTTCTCCTTTCTTTCTTTCTTTCTTTCTTTCTTTCTTTCTTTCTTTCTTTCTTTCTTCCTTCCTTCCTTCCTTCCTTCCTTCCTTCCTCCCTCTCTTTCTTTCTTTCTTTCTTTCTTTCTTTCTTTCTTTCTTTCTTTCTTTTTCTTTCATCTCCCTTCCTTCCTTCCTTTCTTCCTTTCTTCCTTCCTTCCTTCCTTCCTTCCTTCCTTCCTTCCTTCCTTCCTTCCTTCTTTCCTTCTTTTCTTTCTTCTTTCTTTCTTTCTTTCTTTTTTTTATCTACATATTTTAGAAACAATACTGGGGTTGGAGAAATGACTCAGTAGGTAGGAACACTGGCTGCTTTTTCAGAGGACCCAAATCAGTTCCCCAAACCCACATGGCAGCTCACAGTCCTTAGTAACTCTGGTTCCAGGGGGCCTGATGTTCTCTCTGGTCTCTGTGGAAACCAAGTATGCACATGGTAAATGTATTTACATATACCATGGAACACACTAATGCATATCAAAACTAAATCTAAAAAACATAGAATGAATAACATCTATTTGTTGCACAGATTAATGGGATTCGATGTTGTCTTTTGATGTAGCTACATTATGGTGTCCTTCCACCCTCCTTTAACCTTGTTTTTTTTTTCTCAGTTCCTCATACTTCCTCTTTCATTTTCAGTTCTTTTTTCAACTTCCCATGTGTGAGAGAGATTAGGTGAAACTTATTCTGCATTTGGGTATTTTGATTAATATATGTACTCTTGCTGTAAATCAAAGGATCTGATTCTTCTTTTGACAGAATAGTACCCCAACTGTAGGCAAAGACATATGTACACACATAGATACATACATATGTATATATTTCATTCATATGTTGATGGGCATAGAGACTGAATCCTTGTCTTAGCCATAGTGGATAATGTCAACACACACACACACACACACTCACACACACACACACACAAACCGTAAGTATACAACCATAAATTTTATAATATTGACTTCATTTCCACTGGGTATGTGCACAGGAATGATACGAACAGATTATGTAGTACTTTCTCCTTCAGATTTTGAAAGAACTCTAACACTGTTCCACAGTGTCTATGCCATTTTTAAATTTTTATTTTATTTTTATTAACTACAGTTTATTTACTTTGTATCCCAGCTGGCCTTAGTCTATCAGGTTTCATCAGAACTGGCTTCATTGTCTTCTTCTGTGGACTAGTAAGGCTGCTCTTCCCTCAGGTGGAGGTGGTCGAAGAGCCAGCCCATGAGTTCATGTCAGAGATGGTCCCTGCTCCTATTACTGGAACCTTCTTGGACACTGAGCTGCCATGAGCTACTTCTGTGCAGGGGTTCTAGGTTATCTTCAGGCATGGTCCTTGGTTGAAGCATCAGTCTCAGAAAGGACCTCTGAGCCCAGATTTTTTGGTTCTGTTGCTCTTCTTGTGGAGCTCCTGTCCCCTTCAGGTCTTTCTATATCCCCCTTCTTTCATAAGATTCCCCACACTCTGCCCAATGTTTGGCTATGAGTCTCAGCATATGTTTTGATACCCTGCATGGTAGAGTATTTCAGAGGTCCTCTGTGATAGGCTCCTGTCCTGTTCCCTGTTTTCTTCCTCTTCTGTTGTCCGTCCTGTTTGCCTTTCTGAATGAGGATTGAGCATCTTACCTGGGGTCCTCCTTGATTATCTTCCTTAGGTGTACAGATTTTAGTATGATTATCCTATATTACATGTCTAATATCTACTTATTAGTGAGTATATATCATGTGTATCTTTCTACTTCTGGGATACCTTACTCAGGATGATCTTTTCTAGATCCCACCATTTGCCTGCAAATTTCATGATTTCCTTTAAAGGAACATTGAATGGCAGAGGAACACTTAAAGAAATGTCCGACATCCTTAGCCATTAGGGAGATACAAATCAAAACGATCCTGAGATTTCACCTTATACACATCAGAATGGCTAAGATAAAAATAACTCAAGTGAGAACACTTGCTGGAGAAGTTGTGGAGGAAGGGGAAACCCTCTACCATTGCTGGTAGGTGTGTAAACTTGTACAACCACTTTGGAAATCAATCTGGTGCTTTCTCAGACAATTAGGAATACTGCTTCCTCAAGATCCAGCTATAGCACTCCTAGGCATATATCCAAAAGATGCTCAACTATACAACAAGGATATTTGCTCAACCATGTTCGTAGCAGCTTTATTTGTAATAGCCAGAACCTGGAAACAGCCCAGATGCCCCTCAGTTGAGGAAGGGATACAGAAATTGTGGTACATGCTGGGGTGGACTACTACTCAGCAGTCTATAACCATTTTTTATTTCCACCAATAGCCTTGCTCTATATCCTTGCCTTTTATTTTTATTTTTTACATTTTAAGTTATTTATTATTTTACTGAAAATAGATTTTTCAATACCATATATTCTGATTATGGTATCTCTTCTCCCTACTTTTCCAAGTTCCTCTCCACCTCCCCTCCCTCCAAATCCATACCCTTTCTGTCTCTCATTAGAAAACAAATAGGCATCTAAGGAATAATAAAAAAATAAAATATCTCCCAATAGAAAACATTTCACAAATCTGTGCATCATCCTTGCTCAGGGGCCATGCTAACTTTCTTTGTCTTATTCCAGTGTTAGTATGTGTGCTGTCAAAGCAAGCATTTGCCTTTTACTTTTATAAAAATTGTTATTCCTTCCATTTCCAAGAAATTAGACCTGGTTAATTTATCTTTCCTTCTTCTTCCTCCTCCACATTTTCTCCCTCTCTCTCCTATCCTCTCGTGCTGCTGCTATCAACAAGCATTAGTGTTTCATTATCTTCACTCTGTCCTTCTGTGGGTGGGATGATTGACAAGTCAAATACACCCTCACTCTCAATCCTCTCCGAGTTTTGCAGCAAAAGGCTCGTTTCCCTTCTGTAAAATGGAGAACCTGGGATCCTGAAAGTTAGCCATGTCCTAAACCAGCTACTCAGTTTTTTGCTTTCTCTCTTTCTGATGGAGTTCAGATTCTATTCTTTGATTTCTGTAAGGAGGTTTTGATTGGCCTCTGATGACTAATGTGTGTGTACCTACTCTGACAGGCACCCTTCAAGCTCCTGAGAGTCAGGTTGAATGCTGCTTACATACACAAAGCCCTTGTTAGTGATCAGCCTGAAAGCCATAGCAGGGCTCACTGTATTTTTGCTTCTCCAGAAACAAAATTTCTTTTTCTTCAGTCGGTTCTTCCCAATTCTTTATTTTAATTCCAACTGTTTTCTTCTGGGATTAAATGTTATATTTAATCTAGTTTGGCTTCACCAGTGTAGCAATGATTGTTGGATTTCTGGGCAATCAGACTTAAACACAGGTTGGCGTTTCTGCAGAACCTAAATTTTATACTCAGGTTGCCAGCGTGTTACCAAAGCTCCCGTAGTACAGGTGCATGACAGATGGTTCTGCAACAGGAAAAGGAGATAAAAGGCCCAAACCAAGCTAGACATTTTCCTTTTAACTCGTTCAATTCTTAACTACCACTGACCCACATAAATGATAACAGATGGACTGAGAGCTAACTTGGGTTGGGATGTGGCCACCCTTGCTGCTGACTTTCAGTTTACAGTCAGAGCTGCCAATATGAAGGAGCAGAGCTGCCTGTTACCCCAGGGGCACCCTGTGCTACAGTGTAGCAACGGAAGCATCTTCTCTGCATTGACCTGTGGCTCTCCGAGCTTTTCTTATCTCATAATTTCTAATGTTCCTGCAAAGGCTGCTTCTCTTAAGTGGCTGCTTTATTGCATTTTCCCCTCTGAGGCTGATTGCTTAAGCCTCAGGAGAAGTCCCTGTTACCAGCATCCCTTCCTTCAGCCCTGCCATCTGCTCCTGGGCATAATTCTACTAACTGCATTTTCCATGACTTTCTTCATTATGTCCCTACATCCCTTACACTGTACATGTTTTTCTTTCTTTCTTTCTTTCTTTCTTTCTTTCTTTCTTTCTTTCTTT